AGCCTAAGAGAACTGCCGATGTCGAGAGACAGCGCCAGACGCTTCCTGGCATGAAGCCCACGAACACACGTCCAGACGGACGCCTTGTTGACGGTGACATTGTATACCTCGAGGAGCAGCAAGCCAAGCGCACCGAGGCCATTGATAGCTTCATCGAAGACAACCTGGTCAAGCACCAAAAGTGGAATGTGGGATGGGTCGACGCAACATGGCGGCCCATTACACCCCCTCTGGAGCCACCCGCTGCGAAGTCAGACTTCCGTACGGTTTTCACGGAGAGTCAGTTGCCCACGCCTCCTGCATCCGTATCTGACGGAGAGGGTGCTGATGCCACAGCAGTGGTGCCGTCGAGTAAGCAGACAGATCCACGGAGAAGCACGCGTATACGTTTCGCCACTCCTCCAGATGATGTTCCGTTCCACGATCAGTCTCGGTTCCGTCGTAGAATCGGTCGAGGCGGGCGCATGATGATCGACCGACGAGGCGTGAAGCGTCAGAAGACCGAGCGGGTCGATGATCGCTTGGCAGACCGCTGGCGTTTCTCTGGTGACAGCAGCGAGGATGAGGAGACTTATCCCGTTGACTGGACTGACAACCTGCACATCAGATACCGCATCATGATTGAGCGTCAAGGCGAGAAGGCAGCGGCGCAGCAACCACCCGCAAATCCCAATCGCCGGTCGATTGAGAACCATAATCGATCTGCGTCCGGCCATCTTCTTCCTCCTACACCAACAAGCGCGACAGGCGCAGGACCAGCGGGAAGATGATACCCACAATTTGTTCAGTCTTCTTCGTTCAGCGCTTTTCTTGTCGACAAATTATACCCTTTGTTTTCTATTCGTTCGGCGGGCTCTGGCTTCAAACATCTACCAAAGCTATGTACACTAGCCCTATAGATTTGAGGGAGGGAGGATGGGTGGCCGGTTGGTCGGTTGGTGGGTGGGTGGAAGGGCAGCGACCTAGATGGAACATAAGTCAGCAAGTCGATACTTGGATACACATACATACCAACGCCGTGAGTGCCGCAAGCACTTCACTTGGCGACAAAAAAATGCAGAAACTTACCAAATCATCTTTTACATCTGGAATATCGCTCTGATGATCGGGTTCTTTTTCTTGGTGCAATCGCAATACCACCACAGCATGTGCTGATGGATACAGTCTGGACTGGATCAAGCTCTGTGCTTCTTCCCCATACCACCCATCTCTACATCCCCCTCTTCATCAACAGCCCTTTGCCGCTTCGCCGCCGCACCGCCATCTCTTGAGATCTTCTCCACCAGCGCATCTTTTGTCTGAGCCAGGAGCTGTTTCTCGCCGATACGCACAGCCTTTGCCATCGCAAGCCTCCGCTGCTTCGTCGATGCAGCGTCGACAGGTGGGACCTGGCCAAACGTCTTCAAGTCATGCTCTAGCGACGTGGCATACTGCGCAATGCGTGCCTGAACAATCTTTTGCAGCGCTTCCGCGCCTTTGCTAGTGATCTTTTCTGGTTTAGGTAGCCGGCCTTTGCTGCTAAGGCGCTCGTATTCTTCTGCTGGGAGGAGCATGCTTTCTACTAGGATGACTAGCTCGGGGGAGAGACTTTCCTGGAGGGTGAATGGGTTGCTGGCTGCGATGTCATAGCCGGAATCGATCACCTCTTGTTCGTCAAGATACTCCATTCTGTCTTGATGCCAGATGCCGTCGCGGACGAGGATCTCTGTGACAAGCTCAGCAGGGATCTCGGCGACATCGTACTGCGCGTAGTTGTCGGTTACATAGCCGTATCTTCTCAGTAAGTCGCTTCGGGGAAGGGAGCCGTAGTCGTTGAAGATCTCGTCGCCTGCCGGAATGGGTTTGAGCGCTTTCATCTCCAGGCAGTCTTTCTCGTAGAAGAGTCGCGCGTTGCATCTGTCGGCATCGGCGTTCAGCATGTCAGCCAGTGGCACCATGCCTTTTGGCAGCGCCGCGTCTTCTTCTTCCTCAGCAAAACCTTCCTCGTCTACCTCTTTGCTGGGTGTCGCAGGCTCAACATCAAACGCATACGCCATCATCAAACTGCCCATCTTATGCATCAACTCCAGATTCTCAGGGCTGCGCATCTCCTTTGCCTTATCTTTCGCCCTCTCATCCCCACTAAACACTATCTCCGCAAACTCTTCTATCACAGGTAGCAATTGCTCTGTGAAGGCTTCATCGGCGCCCTCCTTCCCTATCTTGGTTACCACCGCGCTGGCTTGTAGCTCGGCTAGTTCGTCCTCGGACCAGAACATCAGGGTGTCGAACTCGGTAGGCAGGACGGCGAAGTAAGGAGCCCAGTTTGATGCGGAGCCATTATGGTATTCGTAGAGCATGACGAGGATGAGAGAGAGCCAGGGGCCGAGGAGGGCGAATGTCGAAGCGGGGATTTCGCGGCTGAGGATGCTGTTTTCGACGCTCAGGATGGAGGCGCGGGGTATGCGGAAGAGGAGTTCGTGCTCGGCGATGGGTTCAGTCGCGACTTGACTTATGTTAGTATGGATCTGCCAAATGTACAATGGAGGGTGGTGGTAGTCCGAAGCTGGTCTGGCAGCATGCATAGGTGGAGTAGCTACTTACCCACGCCTCGCCCAGCATCCTGGTTCCTCAGATCTTGCAGCTTGACCTTTGGACTGATTTCCGCTCCAGAAGCCTTCAGCCAGGCCAGAAAGGTCTGGCTGGCGCCGTCGAAGTCTGCCATACAGCGCAACGGTCCGGTGTGGCGTGGGATTGTTGTGGAGGGTTGGATATTTGGTGGATATTCTTTAGCGGTTCGGCGTACCGAGGCTGCTTGGTCCGAGCGGTGGAGGATTTGGTGGCTGGGGTGTGGAAGAATTTGCAACTCTTGCTCTTGGTTATATGATCAAAGAGGGATGGGATTGGAGCGAGGATAGAAAAGCTGGATAGATTTGGGATATGAGGAATTGATTGTGAAGATATGCGACAGAATTAGTGGACTTTGTTGTGGTGGTTCACAGACCCTGCAGCACCTGACTCGCGGGCGCTGTGACGTCTTTTCGTGGGTTTTTATATCGGCTTGCTTGCTGCATACGTGCAGCGTGCAGCATCGCCATCATCTGACAGGACGATCGCGAATTCCGCAAGAGTTGTATGATCAGCAAATGTGTTGAAAGAGGTCGGCTTCTACTTGCACTCGCACTGCCCAGGTTTTTTTACGGACATAGAAGCTCTTCCACAGTAGCAAATGCACATAGCTCAATTTCTAAGAGCATTACAGCACTGAGTTCTGCCAATTCCGGGTTGCATCGCGGTTTCGCAAAGGTTCATAACACGCGACTTGATTTGCACCGCTGCTGGCCATTGGTGGTTGCCCAGCGCTGGCTTCATGCATGTCATTCCTTATCGATAGCTTTTTCCAACGTCACCCCGCCTCGACGCGTCAAACATCAACGCCGAACCGCGACGACCGCCACAATGATCGCCATAGGACTGGAGGGAAGCGCCAACAAGATAGGCGTCGGTGTCATCTCTCATCCTGGTCCTAACAAGCCACCGATTATCCTCGCGAACCTGCGGCATACCTATGTTTCCCCGCCCGGCGAAGGCTTCTTGCCCAAGGACACCGCAATACATCACCGAGCATGGGTCGTGAGGCTAATCAAGCAGGCTGTCCGCCAAGCGGGAGTCAAAGTTGAAGACATCGATTGCATATGCTATACCAAGGGCCCAGGTATGGGTGCACCATTACAAAGCGTCGCGCTTGCAGCCAGGACGATCAGTTTACTGTGGGGGAAGCCCATGGTGGGCGTGAACCACTGCGTTGGTCGTATGCGTCCCAGAAATCCACGTATCAGGAATCTAGCTAAGATAATACAGACATCGAAATGGGTCGCTCAATAACCCGCGCCGATAACCCCGTGGTCCTATACGTATCTGGTGGCAACACACAAGTCATTGCTTACTCCGCCCAACGGTATCGCATCTTCGGAGAGACCCTGGATATTGCTATAGGAAACTGCATCGATCGATTCGCCCGCACACTTATGATACCCAACGATCCATTTCCCGGATACAATGTTGAGCAATTGGCAAAGGATGGAAGAAACCTCGTCGATCTACCATATGGCGTCAAAGGCATGGATGCGAGCTTTTCGGGAATATTGGCTGCAGCCGATCTCCTCGCGCGCGGACTAGACGAGTCATTACCCGACGAGAAGAGATTAAAGACTGAAGATGGACAGCTGGTCACAAGAGCAGACATGTGCTTCTCACTACAGGAGACCATCTTCGCTATGCTTGTTGAGATCACCGAGCGAGCCATGGCACATGTTGGTTCACAACAAGTGCTAGTAGTAGGTGGCGTGGGCTCGAATATGCGTTTACAGCAAATGATGGGCATGATGGCAAGAGATAGGGGTGGCAATGTGTTCGCAACAGACGAGATGTTTTGCATTGACAACGGCATCATGATTGCTCATGCGGGTCTGTTAGAGTACGGAACTGGAGTAAAGACGGAGCTGAACGACACGACTTGCACCCAGCGGTTTAGAACTGACGAGGTGTTTGTGGGCTGGAGAACTGACTGAGGCGCGCTTTGCTCCGATTCGATACCCCGGCTGACATCGCCTCGCCGTCTTCTTCATATATACATACGAATTCACTGGATATGATACGAGAGGCATTCGGGCACGGTCCACCATAGTGAAGGGAGTGCTCGTGGCCCCGTGCCTTTTTCGCAACCAAACGCTGCATGTGATCTCTTGGCGATGCTCTGCTCCAATACATCACTTACACTACGACTGCTGCGTTCTGCTCCCACCACCCAAGCGCTGGGCTCAACTCTTTGGCAAAGACCGGAGCCACCAGTGCACACCTCCGCCAACATGCTCGGGCTATCAAAGAGCTTTCTAAACCAGGAATCACAAACACAGCTGATTACCAGCAATATGCGCGCCACTCATTCATGCAGCTTGAGCGAGTGTAAGCCATTGGCTACCACTTCGCCTTCTTCACATTCTATTGCGACCAAGATTTTTATGCAAGCTCACCCTTTCCATCTTGTAAGTTTCAATCCGTCGGTTCGTGATCACCATACGTAACTCATACTGATTCACGTCAGGATGAACGAAGCTCGGTATCGCAAGCGTCCCGTCAACTACAGCAGCTTCAACAGAAGAACGAAGCACTCGCACGTGAATGCGCCGGACTTCAAGATTATGTCGTTCAGCTCGAGGGCCGGCCGACAACTCAGCAACACGATGATATTGCCGCAGCGCATGCGCTTGCTAAAGAGCACATCAACGTTCTGGTCGCGAAGGAAGATGCATTGGCTGCTACATGTAACCACAAGGAAGCCATCATCGCCGCACGAGACCGCGCGATCACCGAACTTCTACACGATCAGGAAGCCATCATTACCGCACGAGACTGTGAGATCACCGAACTTCTACATGAACAGAAGCGAGACAGGAGCGCTCTTGATACTTTACGTGGAAAGCGCCGAGCGGACCGTAAGGCCATAGACGATTGGTCTCGTAGGATTTCCGAACTGGAGGCGACACACAACGAGCAGTCAAGCACTATGGCTATCCTTCGCAAGGACAACAGTACTTTGCAAGCCAAAGTCCACGGCTTATCCGACTTCGTTACCAGAAAGGATGAGGAGCTAGCACGGCTGAAGCTAGCTCTCGACGCAGCCGCTGCCATGAACGGAAACCATAACGCCATACCCAAAGGCAGCGACGCAATTGCCTGCAATTGCAACGCCGACTTGGTGAAGCAAACCAGTACATATCGAAAGCTTTCCGACCATTTTGCGGAAAAAAGCAAACTCTGGGAAGATACCGAGGAGAATGTCAAGCGTGCAGCCCTCATCGCCCAAGCGGAGACTCGTAACAACCACGCGAACTGGGTGCAGATCTTGCAGGAGAAGGACGCCATCATCGCTGGTCTAGAGACTACACTAGACGCAGCAGTGGCCAAAGGGGACCTAGCCAAGCATGTCCAGCACGCCATCAAGACGCATCAAGCCTTGCGAAAGAAGAACGCAGCATTGATCAAAGACAACAAGGAATTAAAGACGGATGTGCAGAACCTGCTCGATGTCAACCAGTCGAATGCAGATCGACTGACCTCGTATTTGAGGAAGCTTGAGACGCTGCAGACCGAACGCACAGATGCGGTCGATAAAGTCTCCCACCTGAACGATGAACTGACGAAGTCCAATAAATACGTTTCGGATTTGCAGAAGGTCATCGCTGCTGCAGCTTCCAAGGCGAACCAGGGCGATGTCTCTAACACCACAGACTGCGTTCCACGAGCCATTGTTAACGGCATCGTGGCAGAGGCCATAGCGGAGTATTACACGCAGGCAGAACAACTTCGCGCTGAGCTTCAGCAGGAACAAGAGACACGTCGACACATTCAAGCCAAATTGGAACAATGTGATAAGGACCTCTTCAGATACCAGACTGAGGAGCAGGATCGCTTAGCTAAGGTAGCTGGGCTTGAACGCAAAGTGCGGTCACTGGAAGCACAAGAGAAGCTCCTCGAAGGCCAAATCCAGAACTGTCATGCCTTGGTCAGCGCTACAAATACCACCAGTAGCCCATATGCTTTCGAAATGCATCGCCTGATCCTCACCCAGATTCATCCACTCCAAACAGAGAACAGGAAACTCATCGCCGAGAAGTACGAACTCCTGAAAGATGTCGATAGGTACAAGCGTGAGGCGCTAGATACGCGCGCCAAGTGCGAACGCAGGATCGACAACTACCGTGCATGGTACAAAGACTTCGAGATGCACTACTGGCACGTCGCAGTTGTCGAGCGTGATAGCCTGCACGAGGAACTTGCGTATTGGAAGAAGAAGTGTGGCAAGGAACATTTCTACTCCTCCACAGCTTCCAGTCGCTTAGTCCACGACAGGCGCTTGCTACAGTTTGCGCTACGAGAAGACCACGGCCTGACCAAGAGCATGCTGCCCAAGGAGTACTTCGATCCAGACTTCCTCAAGGGCTGCCACTCAGCAGTTGAGCTGGCTCTGCGTAAGCTCTGGCCGGACTTCTGGCAGTACTTGGAGGGACATGCTGCGTGGGTGCCACTTACCGTCCCTCTACTCACTGGCGAGGGTGAGATCGTCATGGATGAGGCTACTCGTGCGACGTCGAACGCGCGGCTTGCGGAGTTCAAGAAGGAACTTGAAGAGCTGGACGAAAAGCTCGAAGAGGCGCATCGCAAAATGTTCGACATTGACGATGGGTCGGACAGCGACGAGGAAGAGAAGACCGACGAGGAAGATGATTCCGACGGTAGCAAAGAACATATCGGCACGCCTTCCAATACCCCAGGCTCGCACGACACGGATGGTACGTCACCGCCTTCTAGCAAGCGCAGATCACATGAGCGAGGAGACCCGAACGATAGCACGAAGGCTGACGGCTGCCATCCTGATGATGCTCGAGATTCCAAAGCGATCGTAGACGAAAAGGCGCGGGAGTTTGATGAGCTACCTGCATTTGCAAAGACGATGCTTGCGCGCATCAGCGCCCACGAAGCCGAGAATGAGAAGCTTGCCGGTTATGTCGCTGACGAAGGCATCGATCAAGACGCTTTCCTCGCGCAATTTGGTCAGGGTATTACGGGTAAGCCATGTCACCGTATTGGTCAACCGAGCGGCGTCACTAACATATCAGCAGGTTCTGAAGACGGCAATCTACCTAACCCGACCGAATCTATTCAAGTCGCTGCGCACGTCGAACAAATAAGCATCGACCGCCTGGACGTGAAAGGTGATGATGGACGTACTCTTGAGCAACGAGTCGCTGAGGAATATGTGGAGGGTGGGCACAATACGTTTTCTGAAGAGGAGTATGATGGCTTTGATGATGGGATGAAGAAGAAGTATCGTGAGGCTATGGTAGAAGCCGTGGTCGAGGGCCTGGACTGAGGGATGAAGTCGGCGTTTATGGGTCCGTTGGAGCTCGGCATAGCTGCTACGACTTATAGTCATTAGGTGGCTTGTGAAAGATAGAAACTATAGTTATTGATAGCAAAGTGGGTTGTAGGACGGCTGAGGCTTACGATCGACACCTTTCATGAGGCATACAGACTAGCACGGCGGGCCGTACATTAGCATCACGCTAGATATCATGCTACAGCAATCTAGCCACAAAAAGAGAAGGTCGCATGTGACGTTGCTGCACGCCTGAACCACCTCGGAGATATATAACTGCATGCAGCCACGATTAAGACTTCTGAATCCAACCCGAACTACCAAAATGAAGGCATCGTCGTCAATGCTAGCGGTGCTCTTTGCCGCAACCGCAGCTTCAAGTCCAAACACCGCACCCGACTGCGGATGTGGAAAGTCATTACCCAAAGGCGTCGAGCTCGACAAGTCCGTCGATCTGACATTGGAGAGTGAAAGCGGTGTTTCCCCTCGCAAATACCGTCTACACATCCCACCCTCATACGACAACAACAATCCCGTCCCACTCATCCTCTCATTTCACGGCCGTGGCAAGAATGCAAAGTACCAAGAAGCCCTCAGTCAATTCTCAAACGCCAGCTACGGCTTCGAAGGAATCGTCGCGTATCCCGAAGGCGTACCGGTACCGCCTCCCCATCTTCAGATGGATGGTAGAAGTATGCTAACACATGCCCAGAACGCAAAAGGCACACAGCAATACGAGGGCGATCCCGACTCCCCTCCCTCCATCTCCGATGTCAAATTCACGCTAGAACTCCTCGACCACCTCCAATCAACCTACTGCATCGACCCCACCCGCATCTACGCAACCGGGAAATCCAACGGCGGAGGCTTCATCGGCGGCGTGCTAGCGTGCGACGCTGACGCCAGCTCGCGAATCGCCGCTTTTGCGCCTGTATCCGGCGCTTTCTACCTCGATGCCGACCAGCAGCCCTTACCTTGCAACCCCAGCCGCCAAGTCCCCATCATGGAATTCCACGGCCTGGAGGACACGACAATACCATACGCCGGCGGCATCAACACCCGCGGCAACGCAAACTCAACTGATATCCCCACGTGGGTGAGGGATTGGGTCGAGAGAGACGGCCTTGACGTCAACGCGAACAAAACGTCGTATCTCTGTGAAGTGGATGAAGGGAAGAAGGTTACGCGGTATAGCTGGGACGACGTGGTTGTGCATTACAAGTATGAGAATTTGGGGCATGATTGGCCTAGTTCGTTCGCGAATGGCGATACGGGGGATGATGAGGGGGCTTTGACGTGTGAGGCGGCGGAGGCGACGAGGATTATTTTGGAGTGGTTTGGGGGTTTGACGCTGTAAGCTGAGACGACGACCTTAAGACATAGACCAAATTGAACGGGTTTGCAGCCTACATTTAGATAAACACAGGCAAAGTAGGTAGCCTGACGTTAATGTAGTTTCTAGGGTGTTTAGACCTTTCCTTGCATAAGGTGGGAGGCGGCTGAGTGGGAGACGGCGGGGAGAAGTTCGGACAGCGCGTGGTAATTCTCCAGGCACCCGCAATCTACGGCTTTTAGAATTTGCCTGATTTGGACTGCCTGCTGAACAGCAAGGGTGATGGCGATTGTGGAGCCGATGACGTCATCGGCTGACACCATCACCGAGGAACATGGCGTCTCCATCTCGTCTCATCTCATCTCCTATACACATCCTCCTTCCTGCGCATTCCTCAATTAATCTTTCGGTCCAAAACTAGAGTCAGCCTGTGATGCAAAGTCTGCGATGCGGCACTTTCGCAGCTGGATGTCCTGGCTGATGTCTATGATGTTGTCGCGACCGCGTCACGATAGTTTTTGCACCGCGTTATTGACTGATAGCACGTCGCGATCGATGCACAGACGAAGCCTCCTATGAACTGATGTTCAGTCCATTACGCGGCTCTCCTTGTAGGTACTGAGGATGCATGGGAGCGGCGGGCTCGAATTGCCCCCTCCGCAGGCAGCTGCCTCACACGTGCAGCGCGATATGAGAGGTAAACATGCGGCGAATGGCCCATCTTTTGCTTGCAACTGTCTCTCAATCACTCCAATGTTTCTGTCAAACCATGGTCCTCTAAGCTCGAAATTTTCAGCTCTTTCAACTTTGCATGTTGGGTGCCTACGCGTACCTTCCAATCTTCTGCGCCGTTCCAGTGTTTACTTCCCCGACTACTCTCACAGCGGACTTCCACCTGCGCTCGCTTGATGCAACACCAACCAGTCTGATCTCAACGGCGACGACTTATCCTCATTCGCTTTTACGTCATCTTTCACGCTGTCTCAATCGAGAGTCACGCACTCGACAGTCCCCATGGCCTACCACTCAGCCTACCGCGGCATTGCGACGGGTGCCAACGGCGAATTTGATCACTTTGTGCGGACAATCGACCCATCACATCTGGAAGGCGGGTATTGGAGGTTCCAGCATATCGACGATGACCGGCGCGCAATGGCCCGCGGCTTCACAACACCTGAGGATGTTCTCCAAGCTGCCGACTCCAGCGACGACAGATTCGACGAGATCAATTTAAGATGGGTAAGGGGCGCAAACGATACAAGCTTCAAGATGGCGATGTCGGGTACGGCGCATCATCATCTCCAAACGATCTACGAACTGCGCTCGATGCTTCATCTGCCCATGTCGTCCAGAGGGCAAGTGCCGCTCTACCCAATCAGCACCAACCCACGACTCAAGCAGTACTGGGAAGCGAAATACAGAGCTCAACGACCAACCCCGATCGATCCCGCGATTCAGCTACCAGAACGGCCCATCTCATCTCCAGTGACACCAGGGCCCACACACTCGACTTCATCGCAAGCTCAGCACGCAGAACCAGCGACACCGAAGTCCCCCGTTGGCAGAGTCACCAGGGCACGCAGCGCGAAGCTATCACAAGCAGCGCGACCGAAACCTGCAGCCAAGACCAAATCCACCAAACAAAGACCCGGTGCTTCTACAGCGCCTACAAGCCAGTCTTCGTCCACATCTCCATCACTAGAGAAGAACAAGATTTCACTCCCTCCTGCCAAAGCGACAAATCAACAGCAGATTCCCTCCCAAAGCTTCGCGAAGCATCCGCTGACGCCCGCACAACCTGGCCCGTCTATCAGCGGGAATGTGCCTACGATACCGCGAGCTGCGTTAGAATGGGGATTACAGTCGTCACCCAAACAGGCAACATCAGATTCTAGCAATGGAGTCTCGCAACATAACTGGGTTCACCCGTCCGCTCGCGTACCCGCTGTACCATACCCTCCTTACGCAGCTCCCCCGCAACAGCAAGTCCAGTCCAATAGTGCTGAAAACCCTTTGCCGAAGAATACCACCTACATATCAGGAGCCTCCAATCCTTCGAACATACCAGTCCGATCTCCGACGGGCGGAAGACAAGACAAACGTTTCGATGACACATATAATGGGCACAGGATACCGAAGCAGAGAGACGATATTCAAGCGGATGGTCGCAATACAGGGTCCTCCGCCAACACAGGACACGGGCAGATTGCAGCTCCAACAACGCCATTTGCTTTCGACGATGATGATAGTATCGACGGTGTATCAACAAGTCCGCACGCGCCCCACAATGCCACCTCAAAGACCCCCTCAAATGCACCGCATCGGATGTCATTCGATAGCCGGTCTAGCCCGATACCGTTTCCAACAAGCTCCCCAGCGCATTATACCGAAGGTGCAAGGATGGAAGAGCCAATCGCGGCCGCTGGAGCGCGCGACACGACAAACAACGGGCAGACTTATGCTTCTCGGGCGAAACAACAGCAGTCAATCAGTGACCTCCGGCCGCCCAGCATATCAGACTCGAGCCCATCGGGTACCAAAGCTGCAGGCGTAACGGAGAAGCCTGTAGAGACCATCCCCGAGCCGTGGGGCAGCTATATGAAAGGCCTTGAACAGCTTCCATGTGTAGATTGCGGAGAAGATGAAGGACATCTGCTAAACTGCAACCTTGGTAGTAAGTACCATAACAGCAGCTCTCAAATACGTCACTAACAGTGCCTAGACATAATACCAATGCAGAACCTTACCGTCCTCGACTATCGCACCCTTGCTGACGCTGTCGAGCAGTTCGATCCTGGCCCATGGACAACCCACTTCGTCCCTCCTGAACCCGAGCATGAAGACGTAGCGACACAAATGAGAGGCATGGCGGCGGTCATACGGAATGAGGATAGCTACACACAAGATGCCGAGCTTCACGGACTACCTGATGACCTCATGATGATGTTGTGGGCTTTCAAGACTTCGGACAATGTTCAGGTTATCAACGAGTATGTGGACAGCTGCTGACGACTACAATGTGGTGCTGACTGTTGCTCTAGGGATGATTGGGATTCCGGCATCGGCGAGTTCGAGATGTGGTGAAGGAAACGTGTTGTTATGCTCGCATGGATACAAATCCAGATTAGTGATCATAGAGCAGTAAATTATAGGCGAATTGGTTGTCCTGAACTGTATGCGATGTCGCAGGAGGGGGACGTGTTGTCGCGAGCAGTGTCTCCGTGGCTTGTGCCTCTGTTACTGAAAAGCGCCTTGGAAGTAAAAACTGGAAAAGTTACAATTTCTCTGTACTTGCTTTCTTCATTGTCTCATAATTCATGGATTTCGCGGTTTAGTCGACGTCGCGACTAGCGGTTTGAAGAATCGAAGCCCCGCATCGTGTACCTCGGCAGCCCATCCTGGCCCGCCACGGACGAATCACGACAACAAACACCAGGCAGTTCTCGTGCAACCCTTACTCTGTATGTGTTACCGCTTCATCCGTGAGTTATAGTCCGTGACAGTCGCTGCAGCCTAAAAACTAATGACGTTTCTAGGACCATTTCGATCATCTTGACAACAATCTCGATCCTGCAGCTTGCGGCCCCTACGCAGCGTGTACATACATAAACATCGATACACTTTAGAGCGAGCGTCACCACGTCCGTTATTGCATGAAATTACTCTGGTTTCCAAAACCATGGCCGATTTCGAAACCATCATCAACGACGCCATCGCGGCGCAGGAAATCCCCGGGTGTGCTTTAGCGGCCACAAGTCGTGATGGTACGCAACATTTGTCCCCAACGCAATATCCAACCTCCAGTATTAACAAACACCAGGCTCTTTCACATACTCCAAAGCCTTCGGCCGCACCTCCATGAACCCCGGCTCAGCCAAACCCATGGACCTCAACACCATGATGTGGGTTGCATCCTGCACCAAACTCATGACCGCCCTCTGCGCCATGCAACTCGTAGAACGCGGCCAGATCACCCTAGACGAACCCGTATACACCCACATCCCAGAACTGGAAGTACTGAACGTCCTCACTGGTTTCACCGACGCGGGTGTCCCTATTGAGGAAAAGCATAAAACGCCTATTACTCTTCGTCTACTACTTACGCACTCGAGCGGCCTGACGTACGAAGGTATGCATCCGAAAACGCTGGCTTGGCTGAAATATCATGGGAAGAAAATGAATGCCTCGCCAACGGTCGTGGAGCGCTTCGACGCGCCGCTTGTGTTTGAGCCGGGCGAGAGCTGGGCGTATGGGCCTGGGGTTGATTACGCCGGTTTACTAGTCGAACGTATCTCCGGTCTCACTCTAGAAGAGTACATGAAGAAGAATCTTTGGGGTCCGCTTGGTATCACTGACGTTACGTTCTTCCCTTCCACGCGCCCGGATTTGAAGGAGAAGATGGCGGAGATGTCGGGGAGGGGTGAGGATGGGAAATTGAGTGTTCATGAGGGGAAGATGCCTTTTTTGGATGAGAAGGGCGAGGAGGTGACGGGGTGTATGGGTGGCCAGGGCAGTTTCACCTGCGCGAAAGAGTATATTAAGGTGTTGAAGGGGGTGTTGGATTGTGATGAGGGAGGCGAGGGGAGGGTGTTGAGTAAAGAGAGTTTGGAGACGTTTTTCAAGCCGCAGTTGGGTGAGGGGAGTCGTGCGATGTTGAATGCGGTTGTGCAGGATGATGCGGTATGTCTTTCCCTTACTCTACAGTATTCTTCCAGGGCGGTTCGGCTAATTTAATTTCAGGCAAACAACGCAATGGGCGGTACCCCCAAACACGTAGCTAAAGACCACGCCCTCGGCGGTTTGGTCATGATGGATGATGCGCCTGACGGCAAGAAAGCAGGGACGATGCTCTGGGGTGGGTATCCCAATCTCATCTGGTGGATTGACCGTAAAACTGGACTTGCTGGTGTCTACGCTGGCCAGGTTGTACCGCCTGGAGACCTGATATGTGGAAGATTGATGAGGAAGTGGGAGGAGGGCGCCTATGAGATGTTTGAGAAGCATAGAGAAAGTAAGTCGAAGCTTTAGATGTGCTGGTGGAAAGGCACGATAGGCAAGGTGGATGTGCTGACGTGTGAGAAGAGGTGTAGAAGCGAAGACGTAGATATGGCAGGGCAGACATCACGGTCAGGCAGTGTAGAAGGGAAGAGACGATGGGTTTTATGGGTATATTCTTCTGTCAATGTTTCTCATCAAGCTCATCCGATGCTCAGCGGTGATGCGATGTGAGCGTTCCGTAACCATATCCACGTCCAATACATCTCCATGCATATCCATGCCCATCTCGTACCCGGCAAGTACCACCAAGGTTCATATCAACCCATCATTCAATGATCCCGTCAGCCCGAACCAGTAAGCTCCTCGCAACCGCGCCATCAAGGCAACAAAAGAAAGAAAAGCAGATACATGACCCGATAACACCCTACGCCAAGTGCGCAAAGCATCTAGCGACGACGACCAGCAGCCTGGAGCTCAGCATTACGCTTGAGAGCCTCCATCTGACGGAGACGTCCGTAGTCGCTGGCGGGAGTGGGGGTCTGACCGATACCGCGACGGGCATTCAGCATGGCGGCAGCGTCCGAGAGATCGAGGTTGTTGTTGACAGGAGATACAGGCTGAACTGCTGGAGCCGGAGCCGGGTCACCGATGACGCCGTTACCACAAGGACCGCCGAGACCGCGACCGGAGTTGAGACCTTGATGGGCGGGATGAGACATATCGCCGAGATTGAACTCGAACTCTGACAAGTCAAGCTGGAAATCGGGGAGGTCGAGCTGGAAGTCAGAGGCGAAAGAAGAGGTGTTGTGGTTGAGGCAGTAGTCCATGTTGACGGCGTCGTTGCCCAATGACTGAACTGTGTTGTTGATGTCGATGTCGATGTTGTTGATATCGGAGTTGGACATAGGGGAACTGATGGTAGGCACCTGCGCCTTCTGAGCTGCCATGAGAGCGCGGTACTTGGCGGCGTCCTCGGCGTCGGAGTCGCGGGTGGTAGTAGCGGTAGCCGGGCTGCTGAGGAAGGCACTTGGGCTTGAAGGTGTGATGGTGAGGCTGCTGCGCTGCTTCTCTGAGGGTGATGATGAGGTGCCCATGAGCTTGGCGCCGCTGTCGCCAGTGCCGAAGAGGTCTTCGCCGATCATCTCGAAGTCAGGTGGGGGAAGTAGAGTGCCGGGCTCGCCGATCTTGATACCGGTGCTGGGGTCAATGCCCTGGAGGAGAGGAAGTAGAAGACGGCCTTTCTCTTCTTGGGAGAGCTGAGACCAGGGAAGGTGGTAAAGCTCTCCGACGCAACGAATGGGTCCGGAGGGTGCAGAGACGGTGCGCTTGTGAGCCTTCGCAGACTTCTTGGGCTTGGTGACCTTGGCGGCCTTCTCCTTGGGAGGCTTGGGAGCTCTGGGCTTGGGCGGAGCTTTCACCTTGACAACCTTGGGCTTGGGAGGAGCCTTGGGCTTGGTCGCACGAGGTTTGGCGGGGGCCTTGGTCTTCTTGGCCTGGGTTACCGGCGGAGCTGGGTTCATGAGAGGCGTCCACATCGCCTCGATAGGCCCTGGAACGGCAGGCAAAGTGGAGGCCGGAAGGGTCTCAATGGCCTTGGGGAGAGTAGAGGACGCCAACTCAGCACCTTGTAGATGCCTGGCGTGACTCAGGAGGTCACCGCCAGGAAGTCCAAACGACATGTCGCCGGCAAACTCTCCAGCGTTGAAGCCGTAGTCGAAGTTGAGAGCGACGTCGTCGCTAGAGGTCTCGACGGAGGGCAGGGGGATGTCCTTGAGGAAGTCGTCGTTGCAGAACATGCTGAAGTCGAAGTCCATATTGTTGGACATGTTGATGAATACGTAAGTGGGAAAGAAGTGAGAAAGTAGTCGCTGAGATGCTTGAAGATAATCAGGAAGTAGTGTGTGGTGTAAGAGAGACGAATAGAAATTGATTTTGACAGCCACAAGGTGAGCTCTGTGGGAGAAAGGCTCGGCGTCGTTATCTAAGCAATTGAGGAGGCTGGTTAGAGAGTCTGTGAGCATGAAGGTAGATAAATACCGCACCTTTTCCTCCATCTTCTGCGGTGCAGGTGGTGGTGGTGGATACTTCAGTTACCCGATTTGGCGTCGCATACTGTGGCGGCGGCCGGCTATTGGCCCAGCCTCTCAAGGAACTGGTGTTCTGGCCGGGATCTGGTGTCGTTCTGCGGAGGTTCGGGGGTTGGGGTCGAAAAGTTGTGTTTCAGGTCTCCTTCACTTTTTGCGCAGCAGCGCCTGACTGGCTCGGTAAAGGCTCAATAACGCGACAATAGCAAGGACGACGAGAGAGAGAAGGCAGCAGATACTTCTTGTGCGACTAGCGACGTCATTGCGATTTAGGACGCCGTTTGGTGTGCTGGCCGCGGTGGTTGTGACAAGGTGAAGGGGCGCCGGTGGAGGAACAGATGGCGAGCACGACAACCCAACACAGCATATCTGCGAGACAAATCAGATACTGAGGATGATTATATGTACCAGAGTGCGCTTGTGGTACCTATAGATGTGTTTGAGCAACTTCTGCGTCATCGCGTCTCAGTGAGCCAGGCGCTGATGTGCGCGAGAGCTGCATCCCGCGTAGCCGTCATGAAAGCCCTAGCGCTGCGCCAAAAGGCCTCTCAAAGTGCTGGCGTCGAGGTTTATAGCCATAAGTATGAGTTGCGATATGCACCCGCGTTCAAGGTGCCTTCTCCGTTCTTCGGGCACCGCTGGTGAGACCGTTTGGTGAGGGGGATGGTGATGACGTCATCGATCACGACACCGCGAAATTCCACCGCGGCTCTAAGATGATCTAGTCAGCTTCAACTAGTCACATACTAGTTGCGAAAGAGGAAACATCTCACAGTAACGATGGGGCGGCTGTGTTGACGTACAAACCTTGAGAATTGCGTGTGCGTGGTGGTTTGCGCGGGCTGTTGCCGACTTATATAACAGAGGCACCCACTAAATCTAAGAGAAGACACCGAACGGCCATGTGTTTACAACATTGATTGATATATAAGAAAGACAATAGCTACTGAAGATGGAGTGACGTTGGCCTGTCAAGCGCCAATCATGCGTGTCATCCTGCAGATTGCTGGGCGCTGCCGCGAAGGATCTAGCGCGAACATGGACAGAACCCAAATGCCACCGCGCGTGTCATCCTTCCCGCATCATCCCATCTCTCTGTCCGTCTCCTCCAGCGCTTGCGCGTCTCATTCATTGAGCATCTTCGACCGTTACCCGTCTCCAGCCTGTGTGCACCCTATTCGTGCGATGGGGTAGTCTCATTTGTGGATTGCAGACCGATTGTCGCGCCTGCCACCTTGCTTGCCTTGCATGGCCAGCAGTCCATCGCGGCCTCGTCTTCCATTGTCGCCACACGATAATGCAACCGTTGACCTCCAGCTTGCTTATCGCATTGTATCACCAGGCGCTTAGTCGTCTCCAATCCTTAGATAATCCGTGGCCCAGTGGACCCTGAGCTCCTCGTCCATGCCCTCCCACACCTTACGCGTCATCCTTTCATCAATCTGCTGCCACGACGATTGATACTCTGGAATCTGCGATACTTCGACGAGGCGGCTTCGCGCAACCCGGCGTACCACTTGAGGTTTCGCCTTCCGTGCCTGCGTTGGGATTGACGTTCGGTCGTCGCGTCCTGGGGTGATGGGACTGTGCGTTCGTCTGCTTGATGCTCGCGTCAGCAGCGGCGTCCTTGGATCCGACGCATTGTCCGCCACATTGATGTGAGCATCTGACGTGGTGGCGAAGTCGATGCCCCGTGGCGCGTATGTGTTGCTCACTGAGGATCGCGCAGAGCCAGCGCTACCCTGACTCGCATTATGATCGCCAGCCTCAATGCGCATCGCAGCCTGCTCCTCGGAGAGTGCCGCTACCATCTTTGACAACCACACTTTACCCGCAATGTAGATGGGGTACCATCCCTGTGGCCGTAGTGCCTTCAACGCGGCTTCAGTAGGCGACAAACACACTCCGGACGTAGAGTCGTAGAAGGTCGCAGAGATCAACTCCGGCGGAACACCCTGAAGCCCATGTGCCATAGCAAATGCCAGCGTCTTCCGATCATGGATCTCGGGGTTGGCGGGCGGAGCAGGCTCGACGAAATGTTGCTCACCCTTCTCTGCTTTGAGGGCGGCAATCTCGTTGTGTAAGCGCTCGGTTGTTGCGACGGCCTCGTTGAAGTAGAGGCGGTACCAATAATTTACGTCGCTACTCGCGATCATAACGTCGCTCTCGCACTTATCGACGATGGTCTTGCTCCACTGCTCGATCTCCTCAAGTCTATCCTGTAGCTGAGCGTTGGTGTCGAGGAGGCTCTGGTTTGTAGCGGCGGTCCCGCTCACCAGGTCCAGCAGCTCGGACTGGTCTTGCTCACCGAGAGCACCTTGCCGGCTTTTGGCTACCTTGCGGAGCATGTTCAGCTCGTGCATCATCGCTTCTGTACTTTTATTGAGCGTGCTGTTGGACTTCTGTTCTACAATGAGCTTGGCCTCCATTATGTCGTGTTCGATGGAGACTCTGAGGTGATCGCTGTCAAGCTTATCAAGCTTGGCTTGCATATCGGTCTTCTCGTCCCGCTCGGCTTGGAGAGAGTTTCGTAGTTGCTCATTCTCGAGATCGATCGCATCGAGAGCTGCACAATGAGCGCCCGGTGCAACATTGCCTTGCTGTAATTGCTCGAGCTGTTTCGCCAAGTCCCGGACTTGGTCATTCTTCAGCGCCAGTTTGTCTTCCAGCAGATGCACAACCTTCCCAGAGCGGCTCAACGCCGCTCGCACATCCTGCTCGGCTTCTCGGTGTCGCGTGACGTCCGTCTCGGTATTCTGGATTGTGTCGAGCAGGTTTTCGACGTGCGTCCTCAATCGCTGCACTTCCGCCCGATGCTCCGCTGCTTCTTCTTTACCAGCAGCATTTGCCTCTAACACACGCTGAAGCTCACTTCCGGTTGTGAACTTCTGGCGTAGCATCTGCGACATGGTCTCGTACTCTTTCTCGAGCTGCTGGATCCGAGCC